TTCTCTGAAGAGTCGCAGAGCAACGATGGTGAACGAAACATCAGGACGGTGACGAACTCGCTGGGTTCCTCACCAATCAAGCAGATGGCCGCATCGTGATGCACGAGCCACGCGATGTCTAGCAACAGTTATCGAGAGGCGAGTTGCAGTACAACCGCGACGCCCCAATGATCACCTGGACCCAAGTTCGAGTTATCGAGGGCGCATCACACTTTTGACTAGGGACCTTTCGCATTCCCGTTGGATGCACCAAGTGTCCGCACACAGGAGCAGAGTTAGGAAAGAGGCTGTCTGCTGGCGCGCATGGTTCCCCCCTTTCCAGCTGTGACCTGCGATGAAAGGGGGGCAGGTGGCTGGCGAACCTCAACGCGGGAAGTGGGTTAGCCAGGATGCGGGGCGACGTTGGCAGCGCATACTCACGTTTCCATCGCCTTCTTGCTTGTCCCTTCTGGAAGGCACTTGGCATGCACGACGGCACTGTCGACAAGGCGGTTAAATAGGAGCGAGAAGACAACTTCTGTGGCCGGGTTCACGGGGAGCATTTCAAGGGCGCGAACCGTGCCGCGACTGTCTGTGATCGGGCCGATGCCATCGACCAAGTGCCATGCACGCCAGCCGAAGTTCGGAACAGAGGCGCCCGTGCTTCCACGCCAGCGAGGAGCGCGCTCAAGGCCGGTATGACCGTTAGGCGGAATCACCAATTTCCCCATCCCCGTTGTTTATCAAGTCTGTTGATGATGGTAACGACTATGGGCGGAATTTTGCATTCCTGCGGTGCATAAGAACGTTCATCGCGTGTTCGGGTGGGGCCTGCATGTTTGCGCCCAAATTGTAATCGCCCCTACTTCTGCCATGTGACGCATCTGCATACAATATGTTACGTTGGAGTCCTGCCAACGAAGCGCCGTTATTTAGAACCGAGTGTTTCATCCAGTCAATCTTAAACCTCGCATATCCCCGTCTGCATGTTCGGTTCACCAGCCCAGGCGGGGTGTTAGAACATGCCGTTGCAACTGGGTGAGTGTGAGGGCCGATCGGTCGTCGCTACGGATTCCGTTTGGCTAAACTATTAGATATGTTGGGCGCGTTCTCTTTTGCGAGCGAGGTAAACAGCAGAAACAACATCAAGTCGTTCCCGTGCATTTCCTTCTCCAGGATTTGTTGAAAGAGGGAAGGAGAGGGTCCAGGAGGAGGCGGAGGAGACAGCCGAGGGAGGTCATGGAGGAGGAGAAACAGCAGCGGACGAAAAGGCAGGGAGGAGGTGGAGGAGAAGGACGAGGAAGAGGAGACGGGGACATGATCATGTTAGGGTGACGGGGTTTCTTCGCTCGCTTCAACTCGCATGACCCGGCCAAGGGGTACCTGCGGGCAGTGCCGTTCGACAGCTCTAGATGTACACTAGATGTTCCCGTTGGCCCCTCGCAGACCCGTGGGGCAGTCAGCTGGAAACATGAAGGAAACATCCAAGGAGGAAGACGAGGTGGAGGGGGTGGGGGGTGTCAGAAGGCGCAGCGAGAGATTCAGGCGTTTCAGGATGATGCGGAGGCGGTTGAAGAACATGCGGAAGAAGACGGCGTCGACGACGACGACCACGACCACGATCACGACCACGATCATGACGACGACCACCACCACGACGACCACGAAGCAGGAGGAAGCTCACGAGGACGAGGGGTGAGGGCGGCTCTGGAGTAGGAGTGGGGGGGAGGATGGATGAGGGAGATGATGGAGGAAGGCTCAGGCGGGGGAGGGGGGAGCCAAGGAAGAGGCGGAGGAGCGGGTAGCATAATGAGTTCCTTGTCTTCCCCCACCGTGTCTTCCTTCTGCTGGTTACGCTTCGGCATCCTCCTCCGCGGGTAGAAGCTAGGTTGCAACTTGATCTGGCCGGATCCCGCTAGACCCCGCTCAATGTGGCTTGATCCTTGGCTTTATCCAGCCCCAGTCGGCTTAGTAGCTCATCGATCTGGTCCCAAGACTTCGAATCGTTTTCACGGGGATCTCCCAGGAGTTGTTTCCTAAGGGGGGGAAGTCGAAGGACAAACAAAAACACATATCAAACTACCAGAGGGATTCCCAGCGCCGCTCAAAGACATTTAGGCGGACCTCCGAGCCTTCAGATTTTATGTCGTTGTTCCTAGTGGGATGCAACAACTCCTGGGGAGGTTGCATTCAGCATCGGCGCAGGTATGACCGTGGCTGCGGCCGCCTTCATTCTACGTAGTCACCGCCCATGTGGTTCAGTACCATTCTGTTCGACCAGATTTGGCTTCTAGTCCTGGCCTTCGTCCTGGCTCATCCGGATCGTGTGTTTCAATCGGGCTTAAGCGCCGTCAATTGTCCGTACGAAGATGCCTAAGGAGTTGTTTCCTCATGCCCAACCCTCCCTTGTTTGGGTTTTCGTTTTGAATAAATCGCTGTGGTCTCCACCTTCTCCTCCTCCTCCTCCTTCCCCTCCTCCTGCTGTTCATCCTCCTCGCCCCCCTCCTCCTCCTCCTCCTCCTCCTCCTCCTCCTCCTCCTCCTCCTTCTCCTCCTCCTGCTCCTCCTCCTCCTCCTCCTTCTCCTCCTGCCTCGTCTCCTCGTCCTCCTCCTCCTCCTCCTTCTCCTCCTCCTCCTCCTCCTCCTCCCTCCTCCCTCCTCCTCCCTCCTCCTCCTCCTCCCTCCTCCTTCCTCCTCCCTCCTTCTCCTCGCCTCTTCTTCTCCTGCTTTCTCCTCCTGGCTCCTCCTCCTCCTTCCTCCTCCAGGGTCCTCCTCCTGCTTTCCTCCTTATGGCTCCTCCTCCTCCTCGTGCTTCTTCTCCTCCTCCTCCTCCTCCTCCTCCTCCTCCTCCTCCTCCTCCTCCTCCTCCTCCTCCTCATCCTCCTCCTCCTCCTTCCCCCTCCTCCTCGTCCTCCTCCTCCTCCTCCTCCTCCTTCCCCTCTTCGCCCTTCTCCTCCTCCTCCTCCTCCTCCTCGCCTCCTTCCTCCCGCCATTCTCCTCTCTTGGAGGGGGGGGGGTCCAGGAGCAGAGGGGAGCCACCGGGAGAAAGACGCTGCGGCCCGCAGCGAGCTCGCCAAGGGCCAGGTCGTCGGCCTCCTGCAAGGCGGCGCTCGGCGCGGCCGCGCGGACCCCGGGGCGAGCCCAGGAAGAGGAGGCGGAGGAGGAAGAGGAGGAGGAGGAGGAGGAGGAGGAGGAGGAGGAGGAGGGAAGGAGGAGGAAAGGAGGAGGAGGAGGACGAGAAGGAGGACGAGGAGGACGAGGAGGAGGGGGAAGGGGAGGAGGAGGAGGAGGAGGAGGAGGAGGAGAAGCACGAGGAGGAGGAGGAGGAGGAGGAGCCATAAGGAGGAAATCAGGAGGAGGACCCCGGAGGAGGAAGGAGGAGGAGGAGGAGCCAGGAGGAGGAAGGAGGAGGACCCTGGAGGAGGAGGAGGAGGAGGAGGAGGAGGAGGAGGAGGAGGAGGAGGAGGAGGAAAGAAGGAGGAAGGGCCCCGGTGGGTCGTCCTCGCCCGTCGTGGTTCCGCGTTTTGCGGTGCGCGGGCTCTGGCTTGATCCCCCCCCAGCCAGCAGCGACCGCTGCTGGGGGGGAGGGGGGCGAGCTGCGTTCGAATCGAACTCCGAAGTCGACAGCGAAAGCGACAGGGGGACCTGATTCCTCGCGCTTCGCGCCAGCGACCGCTGGGGGGGGGGGGGCTAGCTGCGTTCGAATCGAACTCCGATGTCGACAGCCAGAGCGACATGGGGATTTGATTCTTCACGCTTCGCGCATCCCCACCGGCCCAATCAGAAACGTTGCCCATGAGAGCTGACGGGAGACGGGTAGAGACACACACTCACGAGAGCTCTTGGCCGTGCGGCGCACGGCGGGACGTTAGGCTTCAAAAGAGCAAGCTTGAAGGTTCGGTCTCGAGCGCGAGCTTCGGAGTGACGCTGTTACGCTGCTGGAGCTTGAGCTTCTGATTATGATTCCGCGTGCGGGCCGGATGTGATTTTGAGGAGGCCCAGGGAGGTGCGAAGAGCGCACAGCGCCAGCCACGACGACGGCAGAACGGTCGGCGCTAGCATTGCAGCTTCTGTTCAGTGCAGTGTTGGTCGGGGTCTTGGCATCGCTCGGACGTGTGCAGTTTTCCTGCGGCGAGGACCATCGAGGAGCATCCTTGTTCATTTGGCGAAAAAAATCTCGCACGAAATCGAAAAGAGCACAGGGAATGGACGTCCGAGCGATGGCCAGGGGTGCAGTTGTTCGCCGCTGGAGCTTGAGCTTATGATCATGAGTCCGCGTGAGAGCCGAATGTGTTTTGAGGACGTCCAGGAAGGTGAGAAGCGCGCAGCGCCAACCGCGACGACGACAGCAAAGCAGTTTTGGTTGCAGTGCGGGTGGGCGTGCGTGGCATTTTTGTGTGCCGTGCGCCGTGCAGTGTTGGTCTGCTTCTGCGTTTCGTTGCTTCGGTGCTGGAGCTGGAGCTTTTGATCGTGATTCCGCGTGCGAGCCGAACGTGGTTGGAGGAAGTCCAGGGAGGTACGACGCGCGCAGCGCCAACCACAACGACATCTACACAGCTGTGTGTTGTATTGCAGCTTTTTCGGGCGTGGAAGTTTTCTTGCTGCAAGGCAGTTGTGGTTTGCTTCGGGGTGCTCTGTTGAAGTAAAAGATATGCCAGATCGAACGGTTCCGAGGTTTTCCTGGATCACACGGGGGGCCCGAACAGGGCCTTACCCGGACCAGGACTATCCCAAAGAGTTCGGGTCTCCAAAATTGGTGACGCCGGCGGACAGCAGTCTGTGTCCGTTGTGGACAAGACTCGTTGTCGGTGCCGCCGCGGACGTTGCCCGTTCGAGGCAAAGCATCGGCTGCCCAATAGCGTGCACTGTCATTTTTTCAGAACATTTTCGCTGCTGCGCATCGCATCGCCTGTGGATATCGGTGTCGGTTCCAGGCGTTCAAACTCCTGTCGGCTAGACTTGTAGTTACCGCCGGCCCCGAGTGAGAGGAAGAGCGTTTTCCTCAGGCTCGGCTTTAGAGGTACGTTTCGCTCACGCCCCCCCTCCCTCCTCCCCGGGGGGCCGTGCGGAGGAAGAGGAGGAAGGACGAGGAAGACGTGCAGTGGAGGCCCATGCCCAAGAAACACCCCGCTTGCCTCCAGGGTGCCCTGGGCCTCGAGGGTTTCGAGGGTTCTGCTGTCTGGGAAGCGTGACGCTCCCACGCCAAAAATCGGTGGACGTCCCGGGGCCTGAGGAGGAGGAGGAGGAGGAGGAGGAGGAGGAGGACGAGGAGGAGGAGGAGGAGGACGAGGAGGAGGAGGAGGAGGAGGAGGAGGTTTCCTGTACACCCGCCTCCACTGTGCTTCGTCCCCCTCGCCTGCTGGGAGCCCGCTGCGGCCCCCCCGGGGTCACGACCAGTTGCGGGAGGGCCTCGCGGCTGGCCAGGAGGGGCCTCCGCGGGGGGGTGCAGGGGACCGGTCTGGAGCGGAGGTCGCGGGGAGGAGGAAGGGGGAGGCGCATGCCGCCACTGTTCGAGTACGTAGGGGATCGATTACCGAGCCTTGCGACTCAGAATTGTTGCTCTTCGCCGGGTCTAGGACGACGCGTGCAGTTGTTGCAGGTACGCGAACATTCTAGGTATTCGTTCGCAGATTCGAGGAAAAGCATTCGGGGTAGCTCCATTCTGTAGCCGATCCCCTCCTACTCGAGCTGTCGCAGCGCCCTGCCGGCCACTCACGCCCAGGGCCCCTTGGGCCGCATCCGCGTCTGCAGGAGGCCCCTCCTCCCTCCTGCCTACCCCCATCCCAGAACTGAAGGGCTACGCTTAATTTGGGCATGTCCCTCTACAGGAGGTACTTCAAAAATGGGCCAAAAATAGTCTGGGAACGTTTTTTAATAATACTATGTTTGACTGTGCTGATGCATGTCTTGAGTATTTTTCAGCATTCGTCCAAAACCCGCCTGTAGGGGGACATGCCCGACCTAAGGCTACGTGCACATGCAGAAGGCACAGACGAAGATGCCGACGATGCACCGCCCTCTGCTTCCGTCATGCTGGACCTGACGTGACGGCACTGCTTTCACGTATTTTCCACGCTGGCCATGGGACGTTCGAGCGACCTGTCTTTGAACGCGTCTTGCCACGGCTGTGAACTCGAGCCAGCGCGTGAGCCCGTCCAGCCCCCGTTCCAGCCTCTGCCGCGCACGAGAGGGGGGGGGGGGGGGCAGCGCGCGGGGGGGGGGAATGGGCGGCCTCCCCGGAGCGAGCGGGGGCTTTTCTTCTTGGAGGGGAGGGGTCGCCTTCGAAGGGCCCCTGGGGCCCTCCGAGGAGACTCCGAAGAAGCCGGCGGCGGGGCGTCCTGCTGCAAAAGCTCCCCCCTTGCCGTCTGAGAAGCACGCCGGGCCCTCCTTGGAGAGGCCGCCGCCCCCCTCGCGCCACCAGCCCCTCCCTTCTCCTCCTCCTCCTCCTCCTCCTCCTCCTCCTCCTTCCTCTCCTCCTCCTCCTCCTCTCCCTCCTCCTCCTCCTCCTCCTCCTCCTCCTCCTCCTCCTCCTCCTCCTCTCCTCCTCCGCCCCCTCCTCCTCCTCCCCCTCTCCTCCTTCTTCTCCTCTTCCTCCTCCTCCTTCCCTCCTCCTCCTCCTCCTTCTCCTCGTCTCCTCGTCCTCCTCGCCCCTCCCCCTCCCTCCTCCTCCTCTCCTCCTCCTCCTCCTCCTCCTCCTCCTCCTCCTCCTCCTCCTCCTCCCTCCTCCTCCCCTCCTCCTCTCCTCTCCCCCTCCTCCTCCTCTCCTCTCCCCCCTCCTCCTCCTCCTCTCCTCCCTCTCCTCATCCTCCTCCTCCTCCTTCCTCCTCCCCTCCTCCTCCTCCTCCTCCTCCTCCTCCTCCTCTCCTCCCCTCCTCCTCCACTCCTCCTCCTCCTCCTCCTCATCCTCCTCCTCCTCATCCTCCTCTCCCCTCTCCTCCTCCTCTCCTCCTCTTCCTCCCCCCTCTCCTCCTCCCTCCTCCTCCCTCTCCCCCTCCCCCTCCCTGACGCCGGTGGTCTGGAGAGGCCGCCGCCTTGCCAGGCCTGCGACGCTGGACCTGCTGCTCCCAGCGTGGACCCCCCGGAGGTCTGGACCCCGTCCCGGGGACCCGCCTTCTCGGACCCCGAGCCAATTCTGGACGGTCCCGACGCCGGGCGCCCGCCCCTCGGAAGCCAGCCGCGGAGGAGCGCCTGCCGTCGTGCTGCCTCCACGGCGCGAGGGCGTCTAGGCTGCGCGCGCCGCCGGCCGGCCCCCGCTCCCCCACATGCTGGGCCTCGCTCGGACGTGTGCATGTTTCCTTCGGCGAGGGCCATCGAGGAGCACCCTTGATCATTTGGCGAAAGAAAGGCCACGCACGACACCGAAAAAAAGCACGGGACGTGGACGCCCGAGCGATGGCCAACGGCCAGCCCCCCCCAACCAGTCCCCGCTCCCCCATGTGCGGCAGGCGGCGCGGAGGTGAGGAAGTGGCTGTGCAGGCGGTGCTTCGTCGCCTCCTGGGCGACCATCGCCGAGCCGGACGGCCGCTGGGCGGAGCGCAGCCCGCGGTGGATGCTCAGAGGGCGGGCCAGGGGCACGGGGGCGGATACCTCCTCCTCCTCCTCCTCCTCCTCCTCCTCCTCCTCCTCCTCCTCCTCCTCCTCCTCCTCCTCCTCCTCCTCCCCCCTCCTCCCCCTCCTCCCCCCCCCCTCCTCCTCCCCTTCCTCCTTCCGCTCCCTCGCCCCCAGGCCGCCCCGGCCCAGGCCTCAAGCAGCGGCGAAGGGTCCCGGCTCGCTTATGGTCCCACCAAACCATGTTCTAAGAACCTGCTGTGGTTTCCACGGAATGTGCTTAGAACATTTCTGGCGGAGTCTGCCTTGTTTTGTCACCTCGGGTTAATGTTCTAAGGACGTGGTGTTTGTTCTTAGAACATTTTGGGGTTCTAAGAACATGTCTCGTGGTAGGACTATAGGAATGCCGGGACGGTCAGTCCCTGCTCAAAAACCCCCTCGCGTCGTGAGGCAATCGTGGCGGATCGGGGCGATCGAGATGGGTACGGAAAATTGAACGGGTACAATGCCCAACAGCAGTTCCTCTTCATTTTGAACAGGACTCGCTGTCCACGCCGCCGCGGCCTGTGTCCATTCGAGACAGAAGGCCGCCTGCCCAACAGCGGCCGCTGTTGGTCTGGGACAACATTTGTTGATGCATGTTTTCTTTACCCATTTCGGGCGTCCAAAACGGAAGCCGAAGAATTGCAACAGCATGCCTTTCGGTCGTTGAGAGTAGGTGTTTTTGGGCTCCCATATTCCAGTCTGCTTTATGCGCCTTCCTACTTCAGTGATCGAGTGGCTTCACCTTTTCCGTCCTCGTTCGGCGGCGGGCGAACGCCCAATCTACTCTCAACGCCTTCCTACTTCATGGTTCTACCTAGTTCTTCCCACCGACGGGCAAGCATGAAATTTTGAAGCTCCGCGCGGATTTCTTGGATCGGCGATGAGCCCACCTGGCGGCGCCTGTGGCGCCGCCCCTGGCTCGCTCCGCGCGCCAGAAAGGGGCTGTCCCAGCGCGGAGCCAAGAAAATCCCGCGCGGACCTTCAAAAGCTGCTGTGTATGAAGTTTGTTGTTGCTCTAGGGCGTTGTTTTCACGTCTTTGTTTCCAGGAATCCTTGTCGGGCTTCGGTACCGTCAAAAACCATGCAGGATGACGAACCAGTCCCTGAGAAGTGGTGGAGACCTCTGGGGTCCACTCTATAAAGAAATCATCACGTCGGGGGTCTGGGTTTGGATGCAAAGCAGCAGTAGGACGATCATACAAGACGAAGAGCAGCAACGGGGCAGTGACGCGCGGAGGTCGTTGCGGTTGTGCTCTGGGCGCTCGCCGAGGGGGGTGTCACTCGTGCACCTTGTCATTGATCGGTTGTTGATGTTCTTCTCTCGAGTGGGGAGTCGGATGCACGCCTGGCTGAGACAGGTGCGGCGGGTGGGCCAGGTGCGGCGAAATCGTCCCAGGTGCGTCGAGCGCGCCACGCGAGCCAGGTTCGCCAGGTGCGCCGAGTGCGACCATCACGTCCGGCTTGTGTGCTTCGGCAACGGGCATGCTCGCGGGCACAACCGCGAAGGATCTGTAACCCCCCAGATAAGTATTGCTCGCGCGAGCTTGTTGGTGGACTGGGACTCCCAACAATTATTATGATCATAATGTTATTCCCCCGCGGCGGCCAACGCCGATGATCGGGGGGGGATGGGATCCCTAATGGCGATGATCATGGCGATGGTGATGAGGCGGGGAAGGACGAGGAGGGGAAGCACGAAATTACGTGACGGCCGAGAGCGTTGGGGCGGTAGGGGGGGCCTGTTAGCATTCAAGGCCCCCCGAGGCGACTTAGACCCTGGCAAAAATGTGAGCATCGCGCCATGCCCCTCTTGGAAGGCCCGCCCTGCGCGCGGCGCCGGGTCATTTGGTGGCAATGATGGGGGGGGCGCGCGTTGTTCAGTGTGCTCCTGTATGCGCTTGCGGTAGTGACTTGACCGAGATGGATTCGGTAGCAAATCATGGGAGCCTGGTGTACCCTCTTGATTCCGTGCTTAGCGTCGAGTCGCGTCGATTAGCGTATGGAGTCCGTGAGATAGCGCCGATTCAGCGTCGGCTAGCGTTGGTTCGTGTCAGTTCAGCGCCGATTAGCGTCGATCTGGCGTCGATTAGCGTCGATTCGCAAGAGCCGACGAGATGGCATGGGAGGCTCCCGTGAGCTGCCACCGAAGATGGGGTCTTCATCAGTGTCGGTCGGCCACCCGAGTCGGGGAGCGGGTGTTCGAGTGAGAGAAGCAGGGGTCAGGCCCTCCCCAAGGGATTCGAGGTTTCGGGGAGACTGGTGGCATCACCTTGGGTGCACTGATTCAGGCCACTGCCCTGCCACAGGTTTGTTGCGGGTGTGTTCTTTGCCCATGGTCCGATTAGGATGGTGTTGGGATAGATCTGGTCAGATATGTTACAGATTCCAGAATATTCAGCCGCATCCTCTGATATTGTGAGGCCTTACGGCTGGTGCCGCCGACCTTGTATGCGAGGAGGACCGGGGGATGGAGCAGGTGGAAGAGGAGGAGGAGGAGGAGGAGGGCCTCTCGGGTTTCCCGAGCTTCTTGGGGGTCTCTTTGGAGCCTCCTGCAGGCCTCTTGGGCCTCTGGGGGCTCTGGGGGCATGTTGGGGGCCTCTAGGGGCCTCTTGGGGCGCCTCTTGGGATCTCTTTGGGGACTTCCTGGGAGGCTGGGGCCGAAGGTTCCAAAGCTCCTTCCCAGTTTCCCTATGTGGGCACGCTCTGGGAGCCGTCTTGGGGAGCCCCTTGGACCGTTTTGGAGGCCTCTTGGGCTGTCTGGGAGCCGTCAAGGATCGATTCGAGGCCCTCTTGGAGACTTCTGGGGCTTTCTTCGGGTGATCTTGGGGCGATCGTGGAGGTGTCTTGGGCCGTCCTTGAGCGTCGGGAAGCCGAGAAGGCGAGAACACCAAAGTCGTTCGAAAGCGAATGAAAATCTATAATTGCCACCTCTTGGGGCCCTTTTCGGAGTGCACTTGAAGGCCTCGTGGAGCGTCTGGGAGGTGTCTTGGACCGTCTGGAGGCCATCTGTGCCTTGTGGGACGGATAACTCGGCGAGTTGCGGCCCTCTTGGACCGTCTTGGAGGCCTTCAGGGGCACTCTTTGCCAGTCTTTGGGTTTTTTGGGCCCCAGGACCCCACTGGGGGGAATGGTATTCCGACCCGGGACCTCCGCCCGGGAGCCCTCGACCCCTCCCCCCCGCACCCCCCGCCCGGGGAACATCTGCCCGGCACCCCCCTCCCAGGACCAGTCCCCCCCGCGGGGAGTGGATCCAAGGGACGCTGCCCAATTTCGCTCTGGCTGGCGCGCTCGAGGAGGAAGGACCAGGGAACCAGGGCAAGGGGGGAGGAGCGGCCACGGCGGCAGCGACGACGGGGACGACGACGACGACCACGACAAGGGGGAGCGGCGACGGCGACGACGGCCGGCAGCGACGGCGACGGCGACGGCGACGGCGACGACGACGACGGCGACGACGACGACGACGGCGGCGACGACGACGGCGACGACGACGACGACGACGAACGGAAGAGCGCTTTCCACACGCCGACAGGGTCGGCGGATTTTGTTTCAACCTAGCTGGTGGATTGACAGGCTAGGCCAATTCACATGGGTTGTTCTGGTTCCAGTGCGCAAGTTCAGGCGCCGATGTGTTCTCGCAGAAATGCGGGGTTGCAGATGCGTATGGCCAAGTGTTTGTCCAACCAGTGTCCAACACATGTATGTCGGACCGTGGTATAAGATCGAGGTCGGTTCGAGGAGGGAACCCTCATGTTCTTCGTGGTCGTTGGATGTTCATGTGCATCCTGGGGGAGGGTGCCCTCGAATGCTCTTCCGTTTGGCAGGCGGAGGGTCTCTTGTTCCTGAGGGATGTTTTTCTGTCCCAGGTCTGGCCGCACGCGCACATGCACGCAGGGTTTCTCCGCGCACGAACGAACACATGCAAACATTCCTCGTCGTGAATATCTGCGCGTTCGCACATGGGTTTTCTGGCACGCTGGCAACGTTTCGACTCGAGGTTCTCAAGCTGGATAGGCTTGTTGTTTGCAACTGCAGCTAAATTCTACATCCACCCACTTTTCGGCGGCGAGCGGGGTGGGGGAAGTGAGAAGGAGAATGCCTTCTCAGAGGGCTTGGAAGTCCCCCTGCCTCCTGAGAAGTTCTCCGAGCCTTCCCCACAGACACAGAACACTTCTCAGCAGGCCGGTGGGCTTCGGAGAAGTCCCGCCGCCTTCTGAGGAGGCCTTCTTCAAGCAGTGGCGAGGCGTCCCGGCTGGCCTATAGGCTCACCAAAGTTTGTTCTAAGATTCTGAGAACCTTTTGTGGTTTGCAAGACATGTTCTTGGAAAATTGCTGGCTGAGATCGTCTTGGTTTCACACGTCTGTCTCATGCCATGAGAGCATCTTGTTTTGTGATTCGAACATGTTCGGGTTCTGAACATGCCATGGTAGCAATGCTGGGAAGGTCGGTCCCTGCTCGATTTCTCCCCCTCGCTGCCCCCCCTCGCTCGCCGCCGAGTCAAGGCCGAGGCCTCTCTGCGGCCATGCCCCTGGCACGAGCGCTGCGGCCGCTGGCGCTCCTGCTCGCCGCCGGGCCCTGGCGCGCGCGCGCGGCCCGGACGCAGGCTTCAGTCGGGCCTGTCCCTCTGCAGGGGGAATCTCCGAAAATAGTCCAAAAATAATATGGGGACCATTTTTGGCACATTTTGCTGCTCTTTGGGGTCTGTAGTTTGTATCTTTTTATTTGTCGCCCAACATCCGACTGTAGGGGGACATGCCCGACCTAAACGCAGGCCCTCGAGGCCAGCGGCGGGGAAGTCCTGGCCGCCTCCTCGGCGGAGGTCCAGCGGGCGACGAACGGTAACCCAGACCCCCTCGGGCAGTGACAGAATCGCAACGGGAAGCTTTGCCTATCTTCGGCCTCCTGGGGGGCCCTCGCCAGGCCTCGCGACCGTCAAACAAAAAGACTCGGGATGAAGACCCGGTCCCGGTGAATGGGGCGAGGCTTCTGGGGTCGACTTCGTGGAAGAATCATGACGTCGGGGCTCTGGGTATAGTGGAGGCCCATGCCAAGAAACACCCTTCTTGCCTTCAGGGTGCCCTGGGTTTCTTGGGTTTCGATGGTTTTGCGGTGGAAGGCGTGATGTTCCCACGCCCACAAGCAGTGGACGTCCTGGGGTCTCAGGGTCGGGTTTCCTGTGGAAGGTTTCCTGTGGATTGGCCTCCGCTGTACAGTGAGCGTTTCCGCCAGCGGGGGCGCCTGCAGGCCCCATGGGCGGCAGGAAGGTGCTATGCCCCGACGCGCCGCCGCAGCGGTGCAGACTTTCCAGCCGCCCTGGGACGGGCTGCTCCGATGGCAGCACACACACACGACAATGGAGGTCAGTCCACAAGAAGCCTTCCAACCCTGGGTCCCCACGACGTCCACTGATTCTTGGTGATAGCAAAACCCCCGAAACCCAAGAAAGCCAGGGCACCCTGGAGGCAAGCAGGGCAGGGCGTTTCTTGGCATGGGCCTCCACTATCATGTCATGCCGTTCGGCCGCTGAGAGGTCGAGAACCCCATCTTCGTCGGCGCGCACCTCGCCGCCGACAGGGCGAGGCGCGAGCGCGAGCGCCGCGAGCGCGAGCGCCGCGAGCGCGAGCGCCGCGAGCGGGAGCGCCTCGAGCGGGAGCGCCGCGCGGCGCACATCAGGCAGACGAGCCACAACTGGGGAAGCTGGTGTCCTTAACCTCCTGGGGGGCCCATAGGCTTCGACACCCCATCTCGACATCTCGTCGCTAGGGAACACCCCCCGAGCTGTGGCTGGTCGGTCAGGGCGAACAAGCAGGACTGCATCTTCGAGGAGCAGTGGCAGCCGTGGGGCGAGTGCTCTGCGGACGTCGGAGAAGAAACAAGCACCGCAGAAGCACAGCCTTTCGGAGGGCCGCGCGGATCTCTTGGATCTGTATGGGGACCCCCCGGCGGCGTTCGCCGCGCGCAGGGAAGGGGGTCCCGCGCTGATCCAAAGAATTCCGAGCGTACCCCCGAAAGTGTATGTCGGTGTTGTTGCTTCTTCGGCCAGGACTGCGGGGGGGGCATCCAGACAAGCGTGCTCGCCTCGCGCATCATACTGCAGAGGCAGGACACGTTCGGGTACGGCAGCAAGTGCCCTGCGGAGTGCTCCGACAGCTCGAAAGTTGGGTGTGGCCAGGAGAAGCACCAGCCATGTGCTGTCGAGATGTGTCCCAGCGACTGCAGCAAGGTGGACCTCGGTAACCGTCTCCCTGGTCCAGGTGTGCCCGTGGAGTGGTCGTGGTCTGGCAACGGGAAGGAGTGCGTCTTCCAGTACTGGCAGGTGCTGGGAGGGTCCGACGGACCCAAGGTACGCCTCTTGGCAGAAACTCAGCCCCAGGTATCCAACGGCTCCGACCCGTCGGCTTACGAGCCGCTTGCGGACTCGAATCCGGATAAGACGTTCGTCGTCCACGCTGAGCGCGGCTCGGTCGCACACACTGACGTGGCGATTGGTTGGCGGGGTTGCGCATCAGATGAGAGCTCGACAGATCCTGAATTACAGCGATTACCGCTTATTTCTGTATGCATGTACGGGAGTGAAGGCTTCCAAGATGTGAAATCGAACAGGCGTGAGCTGAGCAGGAATGAGCAGGCAGCTCTGCGTGAATTGCGAAGGGAGTCCAGAGTGAAATGGGCAAACCAGCTGGTCAAGTTTGCGGGGCGCGTTGGAGGTATCGGCCCTCAAGATGCCGGCGTTGAGTTGATCCCTGCTGTCGACAGTTGGGATTTTCACAAGCCGAGGTCCACACTGCGCGTGACCATGGCCCTGTCGCCACCACTGCCGCCGCAGCTCAACACGAGGAATTACGCGGAGGTGGGCGATGACATTCGACTGGAAGTGCACGACGCGTTGTCGTCATATCACGTCTCGGTGCGCAGGGTCTTCGGCTGGAGGGCATCCCATGGATTTTGCAAGTTCATTCAGGTTCCGTCCTGCGATGCGGCTGGTCAAGCTCCATGTGTTGACCCCGACTTGACGCTAAGGAACTTCCCGATGGCGTCAACGTTCGAGCTGGAGTTGGCGACCTCGAACAGCGCAGGCATGAGCCGTCCGGCCAGGATGGTGTTTCGGACGCGCGGGCAGTCGGGCACGCCCCTGAAGGACTGCAGCGTGGATTATTGGAGCTGCGCAGAGTCCGGCGACAGCAACGATGTCTACCCCGAGGAGGACGACCCCGAGTGCAGCCTCGCCGCGCCGCCCTTGCCCGTATGCAGAATGGAGCCGCGGAAGGGGTTCACGGGCGAGCTGAAGTGCGATGGGAAGAAGTATTGGCGCGAGTGCAAGCCGTTCATGAAGCACGGCGACGAGTCTTGCGTGAGCCCCATGCAGAAGGTCTGCGTCCACACCACTTCACACCTTGGGAAGCACGATCACGCCGAGACGTGCGATGCTCCGGGGTGCTCCGCCTCTGTGTTCCCGTGGAGCACGAAGACCTGCTGCTGCGAGTCCGCGACGGATCCGGAGCCCGACTCGCCACGCTGCGCCTGCACTTCCACCAGCTGCCAGGCCATGGGGCTCGCAGAAGCCTCGGATCCGAAGCTCTCGTGCATGCACTGAGGCCCTCGTAGCGGCGCGGACTCTTGGTCAGCTATCGGACGGGCCGCTCCCACCAGCCGATGGAATATACAAATCCCCTCCGATCCCGTGTGGGCCTCCGCAGTCCCTCCGATCCCGTGTGAGCCTCCGTGCTGCGTGTTTCCATCCGTCCCACCAGTGCTTCGAGCAAGCGCCACGCACATGTCAACAGAAACAGCCTCGTTCGAACCTTCCCGTGAAGTCTTGGAAAGGCCGTTTGTGGGACGATGGACGTTTTCGGACCCTTTGCTCAGCTGGTGCGCGTGAGGCCACGCTGCGCTAGAATCTTTCGCACGTTAGAATTACGCCAGGATGTCCCTTCCCCCAGTGCACTGCGCAGTTGGCACGCACTCACCACCGTACCCGGTCAGGGGTTTATCCTGGGCCCTAAGGATGTTGGCTGGACCTTTCTGGCCTCGGCTGGGAGGTCGTATACACCAGGCCAGGACACAGGGTGGCCCTGGCCATGCGCGCTGGTGATCTAGGTGCGCATGATGCTTAAGCCAGGCCCCCTTTTTTCCAAGGCATTCTGAATGCAGTTTTGAATGAGTTTTGAATGACTTCTAACAAAGCGTGTCCTCAGCAAGATTGCGGCCCGTGGCAAAGTCGTCCTCGGCAGGAGGGTGCGACGATCGCTCTTCCGAAGCCTGCCCGCCCGAGCTTGGCAACGGGAGGGGGGACAGTGTCCACCGTGACACGGGCGCAAGGCTTCTTCCGGGGGGGGGAGGTGATAGCAGTCATAAGCTTGTAGTGAATTCTTTGAAACATGTTGATTGATCTGGTTAAGGGAATACGAGGCCCCGTCTGGCTCCCGGGTCTTGCAAAAAAGTAACAACTCACCGCGCCCTGCCCTCGACTGGCGCTTCCCTTGCGGACCCCCCTCGAGATTGTTTTTTTTATCCTCTGGGGGGTAACGCTCGTTACCCGGGCCTCTCCCCCCCCCCCCCCCGTAACGGTAACGCTCGTACGCGGGGGGGGTCTCGGTCTTCCCCTCCAACATGCTGGTGCCCGAAGGCATGCGCACTGTGGTGTGGTGGTCGCAGGCGCACTGTGGGCGCTCGCAGGCCATTGCGGCGCTCGCATGCGCGATGCTGGTGCTTGCGGGCTTTGCGCTTGTACTCGAATCGTCGTCGTCGTCGTCGTCGTCGTCGTCGTCGTCGTCGTCGTCGTCGTCGTCGACGGCGCCCGAAAACGGCCTCCGGAGGCCGAAACAGGCGGCAAACGTCGTCGTCGTCGTCGTCGACCTCGTCGCTCGTCGCTCGTCGATCATCGTCGTCGCGCGCGCGGGCGCGGGCGTGGTGCCGGGACCACGCGGCGGGCTTTGCGCTTGTACTCGAATCGCAAGCCACTGTGGTGCTCTCAGGCAGAGAGTGCTGCTCGCGCGCATACTATGGCGATCGCAGAGCGCCCCTGCTTCGCCATACCCCGCCCAGCCCAAGCGTTACCGTTACCCGGGGGGCACGACCCCCCCCCCCCCCCGGGTAACGAGCGTTACCGGCCGGAGTAAAAAAATGATCTCCTCAAAGAATAGAACACGCGCTGCCCGCCCCTGCGGGGCCCCTCTTGGCCCCGCTCGCTTCGCTTCGACACCGGCTCCGGCCAGCTCGACCAGGCTCGATTCCGATTTCTCGGCGGTCCGGTGCAGCCGGGTGCTCGCACGGTACTGCCGTCCCTCGTGGCGCGGCCGACCTGGTTACCCAGAACAGGAAAAAACACATAAACACAAAGGGTTGTATTGGTTTTGCGCCGGAAGGGGGCGTCGTTGAGAGGGTGCCTGGCAGGGATGCGGGGATCGGTGTGGCGTCGGTCTTTGGAGCTGGCGGTTTGCATGGCAAGTGCGTCTAGTTGGCAGCACGTGTTCGGAACGCGTCCAGCCTCCAGCTCGCCGCCTCCAGCTCGCCGTGCCGACGCGCCCCGGTCTTCGGCGCCCCATGTGTCGCTCCGATGCGATGTTGTCCTGTTCCGAGGCTGCTCGCCGCAGGCGATCTCCTCGGGTCGGTGTTGACTTCCCGATGTCGGATCGATTCCCCCTATCTCGCTCCGATCTCCCGATCCGATGCTGATTCCGAGCCCCGAGCTCCCCCCGAGCACCTTGCCGCCATTGCCCGTTCAGAGAGGAAGGGGAACTCATGGACACACCCACGGGGGACTCACTCCACGACGCCCCCGCGCATCGAGGATGGACCCCCTGTCCCCGAGGCCGAGGCATCGCTGGGACGTGTGCATTTTTCCTTCGGCGAGGACCGTCGAGGAGCATCCTTGATCATTTGGCGAAAGAACCACGCACGAAACCAAAAAAAAACAGGGAAGGGACGTCCGAGCGATGGCCAGTCCCCCGCACGCGCAGTCCTCACCCCCCCATAGATTATGATGTTCCAACGTATTTTAGCCTTGATCACCAGAAAGAACTTCGAGCACCAAGAGAGTGCCGAGACTGAAGGGTTTTCACGTGTCGGGCCCTGGGAGGCGATACTCGTTCAGGATTGCTCCGATACTTTTCTAGGTGCTCGAAATGATTTTTGGGATGTGGTCCTTAAGTACGATGGGAGCAACATAACCCATGGAGTAGATCTTGGCTGTTTCTTGGCGCCTGTTTCGAGCGGGTGGAGTCTCCCCCAGGGGCAGCATTCCCGCAAGCGGTTGCAGGAAGCAGAGGTCTGGAGCCAGACCCCCCCCCCTCCCCCCCTTTCCGCCAAATTTCGAAACGCCGAGTAAAGAGAAAGCGCTCACAAATCCGTCCATCTTGACGGATCCATCCTGACGCGCTGATACAGTCGGCCCAGATTAGTAGGTCGACCCTGCCAAATCAAGGGTACCTTTGTGTCCTGTGCCTCGCGACACGTGCCTTCTTACACTCCTATGGCGATGTGGCCCTCGGAAGGGTTTTGTGTCTTCTCGCGTGTCCTGTTCAATCAAGGCCGACTGTACTCCCGTTTTGAAGCGCAAGACGTACCGTGCTCAAAACGTCCGTGCTGATACGCTGCGTGTTGGTTCCACATAAGTGGCCCACGTGCTTGCGAGCGTGTCGTCGCTTCGAACGTAAGTGTTCAGCCTACGTGCTGAGCTCTTGGCATCGCTCGGACGTGTGTATCTTTCCTTCGGCGAGGACCATCGAGGAGCATCCTGCATGAAACCAAAAGAAGCACAGGGAAGGGACGTCCGAGCGATGGCCAGAGCTCCGTGTCAGCACGCTACGGGTTGCGCGTTTTCGGATGCAGCTCCTGGGAGGTCGAATTCTGACTTTGCCCTGGTCCGACATCAGGCTTGATCTGGCTGAGTCCCGCTTGATCCGGCCTGTCATTCGGGCGTTGCTAGAGGTGCCCCTGGCCCAATGTGCCCCCAGGATGTCCAAGGAGGCCTCCACGGCTTCCAGAGCACTCACTACGACGCGCACAGGGCTCCAGGGGCTCCAAAATTCAACGGAAAGCTGGGGGCACCTAGGGGCACCTTTAGCAACCCCCGAATAATCCCGCTCGCTCCGCCGTAAATCCGGCTAAATCCGCGGCCCAATCCGGCGTCAACGGCTCCCCCCCTGAGGCTCCATTCTCCCGAATCTTCCCGACCATGACGAAAGAACAACACGCACCCATACCCATAGGTGGGACGCAGGGGGCTATGGGTGTGTGTTGTCGGATGGGGGCCCCCGCTCGAAAGGAAGCGCTCCCCAGCATCCGACAACCCGCACCCATACCCATGGCCAGCCCTCCTCCCAACGTTCCCCCTACGGTCCCGCTTATGATTCAGAAACCTCCCCCCGGAAAGCTGGCCCAGCGTCTCTTGACCAACTTGCCAGAACGTTGGCTCTTGGTAGCGCTCCAGTTCCGGTTTGTGCTGGTTCGGCTCCAAAAGTTGGCCCAGCGTTTCCTTAAGAAATTTCTGAGAAGTTGGCCCATTTTTCTTAATTGATAATTATCTTAATCATATGTTTGATTGCATGGGTATGGTCGGAAACTGGAGCATATACATTACCAGTGGCGGGCTGTTTTTCAATCCCAGTACTTTGTGAGGGTCGGGGACGACGCTGGGGTGGTGTGGTGTATACTTTCTTCCCCGATGTCCCAGGGAAACAACGAGACATGTATGATCGCGGGCTCAGGGTCCTCGGGCCCCCCCTCCCCCAGATGGGATGGATCCCAGGGTCCTCGGGCCCCCCCCCCAGATGGGATGGGGGAAGGAGGAGGAGGAGGAGGAGGAGGAGGAGGACGTCGACGACGGCAATGACGACGACGACGACGACGACGACGACGACGACGACGACGACGACGACGACGACGACGACGACGACGACGACGACGACGACGACGACGACGACGACGACGACGACGACGACGACGACGACGACGACGACGACGACGACGACGACGACGACGACGACGACGACGACGACGACGACGACGACGACGACGACGACGGCGGCGGCGGCGGCGGCGGCGACGACGACGACGACGACGACGACGACGACGACGACGACGACGACGACGACGACGACGACGACGACGACGACGACGACGACGACTACGACGACGAAGACGACGACGACGACGACGACGACGACGACGACACCGACAACAACGACGACGTCGACGGCACCACCAGCGGCGGCGGCGACGACGTCGAGCACCGGAGCTGTCAACATGACGCCAATCCCAGCCACACGCCGCACCCACACCGCACCCACAGAGGGGGAGGGAGGGGGGGAGGAGGACCATGGGGTCACCCCGCACACACTCACAGTAACACACCACACCCACACCACATCCACAGGAAGGGGGGAAAGCCACCACGCCACGCCCACGCCCACGCCCACAGGGGGGGGGGGGGGGGGCATCGCGCGGGGGGGGGGGGGCGATGGCATGAGCATGGGGGGGGGGGTCCCAAACCCTCGACCATGTTTGCACCAGGGTCCCGTATACACCAGGATCCGCTCCCCAGTGCAAATTTCAATGCAGGGCCGGAAAAAGCGTCGGTGTATCTGAAGTTCG